AGTAGCACCAAAATCACGACCTGGTACTTGAGTAAAATCCTTTGCCACAAGCCTAGTTTTGTGACGATCAATAGTACTATCCGCAAGAAACTTCAGGGTGTAAATCCAGCGACAGCCAACAAGTTTCACCCCTGAAGGTAAAGAGACAAGATCCCATGTATGATTATGCTGAAGAGCGTCCATCTCCGTCTGCATGGCAAGAATCCACTAGGGTTCCCGCATAGCCTCTGAAATAGAGCGAGGAACTGACGTATCTGATAAGGTTATACTATAAGCTCGAAATGTGGGAAACAAATCACCATAAAAAATATAAGTAGAGATCGAATATAAAATCCTGGCGGTCTAACCATAACGATCAACTGGATGGGGATCACGTTGCGAATAACGATGCCCTAAATCATCATCCTTTACTAACAATGTTTTATCAGGTAATGTAATTGACTCAGTACCTACAATCTAATAAGTACTAACAACATGGATATCAATATACTCAACGAACTGAGAAGTATTATCTGTATTGCTTGAGGTAGGGGACATCAGCAGGGGGATGAGAGTGAGGGCGACGAACATAAACCTACAAAGGAAGAGAGATTGGTGACTTTGGCTATGGAGGAGGAGAGACTGATGACTCTGTAGTGATAGGGACTAATGGCTCTGACTCCTGTGGTAATGAAAAATCAAAGGGAGTATCATCAATTGGAGGGGAAGACACAGGATTGGAAGAAAAATAGAGAACATGCGCAAGAAAGGTAATATCTAGACTATGATACATACGGCACCTGATAAGATCATAACACCAATATCCCTTAGACTGATGATAATAGCCCACAAAGATATAACGAATCGCTATATCATCAAGCTTATGACGAGTAGGAGACCGATCCTGAACAAAATATGTGCAGCCAAAAACATGAGGCGGGACAGGAAAAAGTGTCCGCTCAGGGAATAAGACCAATAAGGGAGCCCTGTGCTGAAGAACATGACTCGGTATACGATTGCATAGAAATGTAGAAGTCAAAACAGTAAAATGCCAATAAAATTTTGGTACCCCCATACCTCTAAGCATACAACGTACCATCCCTATTAGACTCTTATTTTTCCTTTCAGCAACTCCATTTTGCTTAGGAGTATATGGACAAGTGAGCTGCTGAAAGATACCCTAGGAAGAACGGTGAGATACTAAGGCATCAGACACATATTCTTTAGTATTATCCGAACAAAGAGCATAAACAATGACATCGAATTGTGTCTTAATCATCTAGAGAAACTGAGTGATGATAGGGAGTACATCAGACTTCCTATGCAAAAGGTAGATCCAAGTACAATGAGTATGGTCATCTATAAATGTCACATAGTATTGAGCACCTGACAGAGCAGTAACAGGAGAAGGTTCCCAAATATCAGAGTGTATTAGGTCAAATGGCTTAGGTGACTGGTGCATGCGAGGAATATAATTGGTCTTAACATGTTTCAATAGGGAACATATAACAGTCAAGTTTACCACCAATACAAGCATTGCTTAAAGCAGGAAACAACATACATAAATATTTAAAATTTGTATGTCCAAAACGGTCATGCCACAACTGAACAATTTGTGATAAAAAATCATAACGATAAGTACTAGGTAAAATACTAGCATGCAAGCTAGGAATAAATAAAGACAAACAAGTGCAGGTGATGTAGGTGGAGGAATTGGTGAAACTGGAGGTGAATCGCCTAGATAATACAATCCATCTCTCTCATGTCCCTGATAATAATCCTCTTGGTACTCAGGTCCTGCAAATAACATGAATCAGATAAGAACACAACTGCACAGTGAAAATCTCTAGCTAACTGATGTACGAATAATAGATTCATAGCCAACTTTGACGCATGAAAAATTGAATGTAATGTAAAGTCATCTGGGAGGCGGACTGTACCCTTACTAATAATAGGGGCATGTGTCCCATCTACTAACTGAACTTGTATTTGTAAATGTTCGTCAAAAGTAGTGAAGTGATGGGCCTCACCAGTCATATGACCATTCGCACCCGAGTCCAGTATTCAAAGAGGAGACAAATTGGTGCGAGCATAGAAGACACAAGATATACCTGTAGTGGTGACAGTAGTAGAAGTCGGACCTTGAGAAGTCAGGGCGGACATAAGTCTATCCAATCGGGAAGTCATAACATCCATATCACTCTGCCAAGGAGGAACAATAGGAGCAATAGTAGGAGCAGCAGCAGTAGGTGGTGGTATCTTAGCAATAGCAGCAGTACGACCCCGAGGAGGCGGCTTAAGCTCCGGATGGAGCCTCCAACAAGCAACCCTGAGATGTCCTGGTCGGCCACAATAATCACACTGACGAGAATCCCCCTGTCTGCGCTGATCTGGAGTGCCCTGACGGCGCTGGTTCAAGCGCTGTCCACCTCTGGCTAAGGATCCTGAACGAGACCCGGCAGTAGCTGCAAGGGCCATCTGGTCGGCCAGAGGACTCAAGGCTGCAACTGGAAGGGATGCAATACAGACACGACGCTCATGCTGCTCAATCATCACATACACCTCATAAAGAGACGGAAGCCTCATCATCGACAAGATATGTGAACGAGGTCCCTCAAACTTATCACGNCAATACAGACACGACCCTCATGCTGCTCAATCATCACATACACTTCATAAAGAGACGAAAGCCTCATCATCGACAAGATATGTGAACGAGGTCCCTCAAACTTATCATGAAACCCTATAAGGAACTTGTGAATCCTATCCTTCTGCTCTCGAGTATGCAAGAATGCTGCTCCCTTGGGTTCTATCCTCAGAATGGCAGCAAGAGGACGTAGAGTCTCATACACAAGCCACTGCAGGGTCAAATAGCCATAATAATCCTGAACGGTCAAATCTCCTTGCCGAGCATATGAGAGCTCTTGAAAAAGCTCATAAACACGAACTCTCCATCCTGACTGGGAATACATTTTAATAATGCGTTCCATTGATTTGGAATAAGAGCTATGAAGCTGATGAATCCTACAAACAGATAACTCTATTGAGCCAAATAACCATCCAAGAATGACACAGTTCTCAAAGAACCACGTAGAATATCCAGGGTCGGTATCAGTTGGCTTTGGGTGAGATCCCATCAGCCAACCAAGCTTCCCTACATGGCCTAGAAAAAGCTGGAATAANTGAGCCAAATAACCATCCAAGAATGACACAGTTCTCAAAGAACCACGTAGAATATCTAGGGTCGGTATCAGTTGGCTTTGGGTGAGATCCCATCAGCCAACCAAGCTTCCCTACATGGCCTAGAAAAAGCTGGAATGAGCGAGACCACTCAGCGAAGTTAAGGCCATTCAACAGCTGTGCTGTAACTTTCTGAGAGATCATGCCCGACAATGCTGGTAATGCAACTGTGCTAGTAGGTACTGTATACTAGTCAAACATAAAAGTGAAAATACCAATAGATGTCTCAACGGTAGAGGTGTCAACAGTAGAAGACTCAAGTCCCTCAGTAGTAGCCATATCAACAATAATACTAGGGCACCCGTGACAGAAAAACAACTCTAAGATAAATAGAGAGATAAGAACAATATATCTCCAGTCGAACAGTAGCGACAAATAAAGAAGGTCCAAAAAGCTCTCAAATAATCAGGTCACGGTGTCCAGAAATTCAATAAATATAAATCATCTACTGCATCAAGAGCAGATCAACAGACGGAGAAGAGGATTTAACCCCTCATAAAAAAAGATCCTAGTTACTGTAACCTGGCAGCACTATGACGAAGAGTGCAAACGAAGGTACAACAAAAAACACAACCCGGCAGTGGGCTGGGCAGCGACCCAGTGGTAGGCTAGGCACTTGGGTAATTTTTCGGTGTTGGGTTGTTTCGGTGGAAGGCTGAGGGCTGTCGGTGGAAGGCTAGGTATTGCGACTGTTTGGAGGTTTGGTTTACTGGTGGGTTGCTNGCGACCCAGCAGTAGGCTAGGCACTTGGTTAATTTTTCGGTGTTAGGTTGTTTCGATGGAAGGCTGAGGGCTGTAGGTGGAAGGCTAGGCATTGCGACTGTTTGGAGGTTTGGTTTATTGGTGGGTTGTTGGCTTCCTGGGTTGCTGTTTTGGGCTGTGGCTGAGCAGTGGGTTGCGTGGCTGTGGCTTGGGTGTGCTGTTGGTTTGAGTTTTGCGTGGCTGGGCTGGGTAAGGTGGCTTAGTAGCCGGTTGAGTGGCTGAGCAATGGGTTACGTGGCTGTGGTTTGGGTGTGCTGCTGGTTTGAGTTTTGCGTGGCTAGGCTGGGTTATTGTTCTTTGCTGGGTGGTTATTGAGGCAGTCAATCGGTGGTTGGTGATATGGAGGCAGTCGGTGAGGATGTGATGTGTTGGAGGCAGTCGGTGGTTTAATATGTAGGCTAAAGGGGTTTTTCGCTGGTAGGTGGGTCGCTGCAGTGGCTAATTTGGAGCAGTCACGGTGGCAGTGTGGTGGCCGGTGGCTGTCAGCTGCAACGTGGAGGAGGGGCTAGGGTTAGGGATACAGTTGTGGCTCTGATACCAACTTGGAATGAATGTGTGTGAAAAAGGGATTCTCAAATTAAGAGTAGAGCCCCGTATATATATCCAAAAATAATACAGAGTGACTTAAACATCCTTGTAGTTTAGGCAAAATATAAAAATCTTAGTAAGGGTAAAAAAGGGAAAAGAAATCCTAATAAACCTAGACTATCTATACTCCAACACTGGTGGAGATGTATGCTAACCTAGATTGCGACATTACTTGCAGCAATGTGTTTGAAGATCTTGCCAATATATTGTCAAAAAGTGCATTTCCTGTGAATTGCCCTTTGTCTGCAATGCACATTCTTGCNGCAATGTGTTTGAAGATCTTGCCAATATATTGTCAAAAAGTGCATTTCCTGTGAATTGCCCTTTGTCTGCAATGCACATTCTTGCTTTGGATGGTCTAATTTCTGAACTGCCCTTTGTCTGCAATGCACATTCTTGCTTTGGATGGTCTAATTTCTGTAATTCAAGGAATGGCTGAGAGGATCAGCAATGGATTAGTTAGTTCAGAACAAGGTTCCATAAGTCTTGAGGAGTATACCCCATTTTGGATGGTGAAGTGTGACAACTATAGTGATCCTGATCATTGGGTACCGTTTGTCTGCCGGAGGAAAGATACTAAAAGGAGGCTGATGATTGGTGCTGATCAATTTAATCGGGGATCCCAACAAAGGGCTTGAGTTTCTTCAAGGAATGCACCTCTTGCCTGACAAACTTGACCCACAGAGTGTGGCTTGCTTTTTCAGGTACACTGCTGGGTTAGATAAGAACCTTGTTGGGGATTTAGTGGGCAATCATGACAACTTTTGTGTTCAGGTCCTTCATGAATTTTCCGGGACGTTTAATTTCCAAGACATGAATCTGGATACTGCGGCTGTGTTCTGGAAACTTTCAGACTGCCTGGAGAATCACAAAAGATACAAAGGGTACTAGAGGCATTCTCACTCAGAGAGATATTATGAGCAATCACTGCTGATTTTAGCTAACAACGATGCGGTTCTGTTGCTGCCCTACTAACTAATATTGCTCAACACAGATCAGCACAATGTACAAGTTAAGAAAAAGATGACAGAAGAAGATTTTATCCGGAATAATCGGCACATCAACGGGGGGAAATGATCTCCCTTGAGAATTCTTGTCAGAATTGTACTATGCAATCTGCAAGAATGAGATACGCACAATCCCAGAACAAGGTGCTGGTTTCCCTGAAATGACACCAAACCGTTGGATTGATCTAATGCACAAATTTAATAAAACTGCACCATTCATTGTGTCAGATTCCAGAGCTCATCTGGACCGTGATATGTTTGCTATAATGTCAGGCCCAACACTTGCGGCTATTTCTGTGGTATTTGATCATGCAGAATTTGAAGATGTATACCAAACATGTACTGATGGATACTTAGCTGTTGCAAAGGTTTCTGCATGCCACCATCTTGAAGATGTTCTGGATGACTTGGTGGTGTCTCTTTGCAAGTTCACGACCCTGTTGAACCCGTCTTCTGTTGAGGAACCTGTTTTAGACTTCGGTGATGACACAAAAGNGAGAGAGAAAGAGGAATACCCACATGGGGTCCGCACGGGTGAATTCTTGCAATAAATAGAGATAACGATCCGTTGGATGATGAACCTGAGGCAATCAAAAGGTTAGGAAAGGGGCTGGTTGAACACTCGCCTAATCTCTTCCGAAACTTAAATCAGTCGGCATTGGAGACATTAGCACAGTGTATTTTCTGAATTTAGATTGAGTACCTTTGTTCAACTTCCTGAGGGATATTTATACCTGAACTAGCAATGATTCGAGGGTCTGTGAGTCTCATCTAAGCATTTAATGGCTGACATTCATATCCAAACATAATAAATGCAATCCAATCAAATTCTCTCAAGATTTACCTCCTCGGGAGAGTAAATACATGCTCGGGGAACTCCGAGCATTAACTACCCATCTCTGATCATTTAAGGACCCTTACTCGGCGCNGCCTAATGCTTGACACGAATTCGAAATGACAAGACACGATTGTCACTCTACCTAAACCCATCTATATGGGGTTGGTTCAGCGATTGAACGACTAGTGATATTCAAACTCTTACATACTAAATTTGACTTCTCTTGACCGAATAAAATTCGAGTTTTACCAATGTGCATAATTTAAGAATGATTATTATATTAATAGTTTGTGTTGTAGACACCGGCGTGGTTGGAATGGTTTTTCTTACCCAAAAAACTTAGTTATCTGATGAGAGAGAAAGAGGAATACCCACATGGGGTCCGCACGGGTGAATTCTTGCAATAAATAGAGATAACGATCCGTTGGATGATGAACCTGAGGCAATCAAAAGGTTAGGAAAGGGGCTGGTTGAACACTCGCCTAATCTCTTCCGAAACTTAAATCAGTCGGCATTGGAGACATTAGCACAGTGTATTTTCTGAATTTAGATTGAGTACCTTTGTTCAACTTCTTGAGGGATATTTATACCTGAACTAGCAATGATTCGAGGGTCTGTGAGTCTCATCTAAGCATTTAATGGCTGACATTCATATCCAAACATAATAAATGCAATCCAATCAAATTCTCTCAAGATTTACCTCCTCGGGAGAGTAAATACATGCTCGGGGAACTCCGAGCATTAACTACCCATCTCTGATCATTTAAGGACCCTTACTCGGCGCTTGACATCTACGCCCAAGCAATTATTGCTCAAGAATAAGCACCTCGGGTCTTGCCGAGGACAATGGGTTGGCGTAATGACAATTAATGCCTTGTAATGATGAATTTCTCTAGAACTCCTCCATGACCAGAATACGAAGAACCATAGTAAGGGAAATAGTTAGGTCTAGTGGCACTGGTAGGCTAAGGAGAACCCAAGTGAAAGAGACCAACTTGCAAGTGTTTAGAAATAAATACAACATTCCCAAGCCCTTTTTTACTTTTGTTTTCGACTCTAGGTTCCACAGGTCTGATATAGGCAGTGTGGAACTCATGCCTTTTCATACGAAGACTGTCATGGAGGGGGAGTTAGGTTCCCTCTTCCTCCCCTTATGTTAAGAATAGTCATACATTTGAGGCTCTTTCCCCTCCAATGTTGTATCAGTCTATTTAGAATAGTCATGGGCATAGTCACCATAAATGCTCGGCTGGGGGTAAACCTAGGGGTAGATGAGATTTTGTTATGCTATGACTTGAAATTAATCAGTGGGGATAGATATTGTCTTTCGGCTTGGGACTCCTCCATGTATTTAGTTACACACATGCCCGACTCGGACAAGGGGTATACTCAGGATCTCATTATGCTCAGCGACAGATGGGAGAAAGGTGATAGGTTTGAGTATGATGGCCTTTTCTGTCCCAAGGTGCCAAGGGATCCAAATGGGCATTTCACCAACTTTGCCACCCTTCGGCCTTTATTTCTGTTTCTGACTTTCATTTTTTTCTTTTTCATTGCAGAGGGATATAAGGGAGACGCTGCCCAACCTTCAAAATTCGAAGTTGCCTTCAACGATTTGATCAAGGTCTGGTCCTACAACCCCGACAACCCCTTTGCTCGAGGCGCATACGTTCTACTCGACTACCGCCCAGGCTACACTCAGTTTTCACAGATCCCTCCCCCGTTCGACCCCTCTATCTGGGCAGACAACTCTTCTGAGGAAGATGAGGAAGAGGAAGATCTTAAAGCCGATCACGATCGCAATTTAGAATCTACTCAATCTTTATTCGACATGTTTCACATCCCCCCCAATCAAAATCGACAGCATGGAGGCCGCCTCCATGGCAAGGAGAACAAGGCTCTCGAGAGCAGGTGAATCGTCCGGCACTGCACTGATCCCCGTGTCTCCGCCTGCTCCATCGCGCCAAGAGCGCTGACCACCACCACCACAACAGCAACAACAACATCAAATGGTCCCTTCAAGGGACTAGTCCCAACAAAGGAGGTGCCAAGATGAGTCATCAAAGCGAACTAATGAGCGACAGAGAGATCGTTGAAGTCGGGAACCCGAAGCCACCATCGAGCGCCGAGTGAACTAGCGTCATGACACCCCGACGCCTTCTAGTCCAGCCGAGTGGGCCTCCTAAGCTGTTACCAGAAGGGGGCATCTAAGGATGGCAGTGGACCGGAAAAAAATGTGTATTCGTCCAAATTCGTCCCGTTTGAACCGGGGATGAACTATACATATTGGACGGTGGACGTATACGGGGATACCCGTATAAACCCGTGCGGGGATGGACTTACCCTTACCCCCGCGCCGTCCCCGTTTTACCCTTACGTCTGCACCATCCCCATTTTACCCGTTTTACCTTAGTGTATATATATATATATAGGCTTAAAGCCCTAATTTACTCGTCTCTTCGTCGATCAACCTTCAGTCGCCGCCTCCATCTCTCTCACACACACACACACACACACACAGTGAAACAGACACCCACAAGGCCACACTCATCGCTGATCAGCCTGATCGCTGCACTCAGCAGCAGCTCCTCATAGTCACAGCCGACCGCCTCTATCCATCTCTCTCTGTGTCCCGCTCCTCATAGCCGACCGCTTATGAGCTTTATTTGGTGAGTACTCATTCTGAGCTTTATTCGGTGAATCGGTGCATGAGCTTTGATTCAATGTATGAGCTTTATTCGATGAGGATTATAAAGGCTCTCAATTTTTGTCTTAAATGAAGAAGTACTCGGCCTTCCCTATGTCATCCTATACGTCATTGATTGAACCCAAACACCACCAACACCACCCAAAATCAAATTAAAATTAAAACAATGTGTGACAAACAGTGTGTGCGTGCAATTTGTGTGTGTAAATGTGAGTGTGGTATGTGCAAATCCGTGAGTGGGTGTGTGCAAAGCTTTTCCTTGTTTTGTTCCCAATATAACTCTCTTTGATTCAGTGAATGGGTTTTTCCAAGAAATAGCATAATCACTGTACAAGAAATAGGAGAAAAATTCCAATTGCAACATAAGCATTATCATTCTATTTCTGAAAAAAACATAAAAACATGGTCGACTTAGAACATTTCAATTTATCATTCTGAACATAAAAACATTTCAGTTTCTGAAAATAATTTCAGCTTATCATTCTAAATATCATTAAAATGTATAGAAAAAAAAAATGTTGCAGAAATACATCCATATTGATATTGTTCATTCATTGTTCATATTGATATCATATCCATATTGATATTGTTATGATTATGTAATGGCAATGCATGCAATTATTCCTTAAAAGCTTGTGATTCTTAAGTGGGGTTAAACAAATGGATAAGGAGCCCGTTTTCTGATCATGCATTCTTTTAAGTGTTAAATTGCTATCCCAGTTCTTATTTTATTTGTTTGACTGCCCTTTAGGTGACCTGCTGCATTCAATCGAATTCAGATTCCCTCTAATTAATTTTTTCTTCAATTCTCTTTTAGGTTGATCATGTGAGACTCACTTGTGTATATCACTTAAAAGTTATGAAATTTTCAGAGATAAATTATTGATCTGAAATGTTGATTCTGCATGTTGAGAATTGTTGCATCTATGTTGATCAGAAGGCTTTAGTTTTTGGATTTATCTTTGTTTTAGCCTTCTAGTTGTGTGGATTTAAATTTTTAAATGTTTTTTCAATATGTGTGTTTGAGTTTATTGTTTTTTAATAAAAGGGTCTTGATGGCACAAAGGCCAATTTCTTATGCAGTTCAATTTCTTATAAAACAATTACCAGTAGCATATGCAGTCCAATTTCTTATGCAGTCCAATTTAATATGTCAACTCCTCAAACTTCTGCAACACTTGGTGTTATGTTGTGTAATGTTGAATTTTATCAAATTTAAGTAATATTTTGGACATTTATTGTTTGTGTTTTGTTCGAATATGTTATGCTACAACATTATGTTGTATTAGATTATGTTAGATTATTTAGAATATTGTTGGATTATTTAAAATTTTGAATTTATTTAGAATTTTGGATTATGTTGGCTTGAACTTGGGCTTAGGCTTAGGATTGGGCTTGGGCTTATGCTTGGGCTTGGATTATTGGGTTTAGGAAAAAGATATGATTTGCCAAAGACATTACCAGTAAGAAATATGCTAAATCCCTTGCACTAACTTTGAGAACATTTGGATGGCCTTTTCAATGTTCTCTTAATTCTCTGGGACATGGTTTGCTTTATCCAAGTACCATTCTACACCAGTTTAGTGCTTAATGCATTGATGACATAATTTTATTGTATAATTGTTAAGCTAGAGCCTCAAGCACTTGATTAGGGACTCAAATTCATTGTTATTGGTGATAAAAATGAGAAAAGTGGGGCCATTAATGTATGTTACATGATGTCATTGCTTTCTTTGAGGTTTATTGTTTGCTTTGGTTTCTACTTAGTTGATTTTTACGTATAGTTGATTAAGTAGGAATGGAAGGAGTAGAAGTGAGAAATAATATGTCAACTCCTCAAACTTCTGCACCACCAGGTGAAAGCAACCAACTTCCAATCTCTATTGATGAAAATCAATCTACCAACTCAATTTCAATGACTCTTGGTGAAACAGATAGACATAGATCAATTGTGTGGAATCATTTCAATAGGAAAACAATTGATGGGAAGTTAAAGGCTGAGTGCA